TATATATATATATATACAATGTATATTGATCAAGTAAGACTTGGTCCACATGCACACAAAGAAGCTCTAGTTCTGTCTTTTTTTTTTTAATTCGTTGGCATGGACACTTAGAGATTTGTGTACACAGATGCATGTTTTTTTAAGGATCAGAAATTTCAAAAGATGGAGTGCGTCCTGGTATTTCCCACATAGTTCGCATTTCCCATTGTTTTCCCAAGATTGCCCTTCTCGATTGGTCTATCTCATGTCATTGAATCTTCTTCTCTCCACTGTTCAGTTGCTCCACGTCTTCTAAACGTACACACCTCTTCTTCCAAACAGTACGCGTGAAAGCAGTACGATCCGATTTTCTCAGTGTCATTTTTGCACTTGCTCAAAGATCAATGTGCGTCATACGTGATGTTCACATGCCTGCGCTCTTTAATATCAGAGTATTTTCTCTATTGGTCCCTTTGTGTTTCTGCGCCTTTCTCCTTTTGCGTTCATTCTCACTTCTGGTCATCTATTTTGGCTCATCATTGAGCGAAAGTTATTAGGATAAAAAATTTTGTTTCGAAAATATGCCATAGACTTACTTGATCAAAATGTATATCTTTTCTTTTTCTTTTTTTTTTTTTTTTTTTTTTGTAAATTCGGATTAGAGTTTCGGATATGCGTAAACGAACTTAAAAGTGACGAAAGAAAAATCGAATAAAAACATTAATGCTAAAAATGCCGCGCGTGTAAGTTTGGTTCAACTCGGGGAATACACGAAATGCGGAACGATCGAATGCCAGCGAGAAAATACAGGGAACGGTTACCCGCGCGCATATTCGATAGAATACTCGCATATCGTAATCATTCTGGAAACCTCGAGTAGCAATCAAACTCACGGAAAAGTGACTATCGGACGTATAGTAGGTGCGAAGCCAAGGGTACAGATATTGCTTACCTGCCAGCTGACGCGACTCGAGAGATTTTCCACAGTGAGCCGATATTCAGTGCGTGTTGGTGGTCCGTATCTACAAAAGGAAAAGCATGGATATTATCTACTTTGCATTATTTCAATAGAAGCAGGTTTGTCTTGGACCTGACTTTATACGTAACAATAGCGAAACTCTAAGAATGGAAACGTAAAACTTGATTTGTAATATTCAATATTGCAATTATTTAGAAGTTGAATAAATTATAAGATGTATCGTTAGAGCGTAACATTGGATGTATGTACCTGGGCAATGATTGCTTGTAGCTAGATGCAGTCCTCGTGTTTCTGTTCACACTATCTCTGCAAAAAGGGATGTCATGTGAACAGAAATAACGGATCGTTGGTTAAACCTTCAGCAAATAACTACAGATTCTGCACTCATTGCTCAGGCACACAATCAATCACCTGTTCCAATCGAATCAAATCTACTCAAAATGCAGCAATAGCGTACCTGTCGTGCCGCATATCGTCTCGGCTGTAACAAACACAATACCACACATCTATTAGTCGCCAATTACATCGATCCACCTCTCTCATCTACCAGTAATAAACATAATGTTTGGGAGGGTATTCACTAGGCATTATAATGTAATGTAGTGTATTTTATACGTTGGATTTCTCAGCTAGTGAGAGTTCTTCAAAACTTCTGTTAATTCGACGTACTCGGGAGAGCAGTCAAATCCAAGACAACCAATTCGAACTAATTCGCCGGTGCCTAGACGAACTTTCATCGTATGCAAATTGGCAAGCTTTACAACACTCATTCGTTCCCTTTCATACACTTTCACTCTATCTCTTTCATTCTCTTTTTCTATTCTAGAGCTTATCATATCCAAGGTTACGTTCTTCCCCGTACGGCCGATATGTAAAATCATTTTTCATTACATACAATCGAATTAAATAATTTATACTCAAAGTGAAAAATTGTAAAAACTTCGTTTTACTTAAATATCAAAAACATCATTACTGAAGTTAACTCGAGAAAGATTCATTCAAGATTTTGCATATCTTAATTTAATTGCCTGTAGGGAAGGAGGGGATAATGATCGCTCTGATAAAATAAAAAAAAGGATAGCGTGTCTTACGCAGATCGCCTCGAGTCCCCATAACCACCACGGGAGTCACCATAGCGCCACTGGTCACTACCCCTAGGTGTCCCCCGGGCCCTCTCTACAGTAATTCTGTAACAAGACACATTGGATATGCTTACTTGTCTCTCCAGGAGCGTGAGCGTCCGTAGCCACGGTCGCCTCGCCTCCCTGAAACACCCCGTGCTATCTCCACCGCCACTCTGAAACACACCCAACAAAACCCCGCCTAAGTCCTCGACTAATTCTTACTCTAAAGCTGCTTCCTTCCTTCCATCCTTCTTTCCATTTTCTTTTCCATTCCTCAGCCTCCTCTCGAAATCCGTTCAAATATCATCCGCCTCGTTCTTTATCTACAAAGTCCAGCCACTGAGGCGCTGTCCCCTCATCACCGTATTTGTCTCTTCATTCCCTCTCTAATTTATCTAGTTGCTGTCCACTTATAACTCGCAACTTATATATTAAATTAAGTTATACACTTGTATAAAATCTCAAGGCTTTCTCATAATTAACTGGGATCACTTATTTCTTCTCTTTGCTTTATTCTTTTTTTTCTTTTTTTAACACTTTGGAGAACAAGACGAAAGAATTGTTTATGATCACCAGAAAATTATGAAAATGCATTACTAACTGTAAAAGATACATATTTGTACTTTTCTCTCGTTTGTTAAATAATTCTTATCAAAGAAGCAATATACATTATGTAAAATTCTGAGGCATTTGTTTATGAAGTATATCAAATCTATAATAAATCTTTAACACATATGTGTGTATATATATATATATATATCGGGGAATTGATGGAAGTAGTTCAAAATGGCGGCAAGTCATATCGGCTATTTAAGTAAGATGCACTTTTATTCCAGAGCAAGCCCAATCAATAATTTGGAGGACAGACGCCGTTTTGTTAAACTTAAAGATAATAACCAAAGAAAAAAATATTTTTATTGCATTTTTAAATTATATAGAAGCAACAGCAGATTATTATATCAACAGCATATAAAATTTAGAAAACTTTGAAAATTAAAAATACATAAAAACATGAACATAAAGAAACAAGAACATGAAGAAAGATTTAAAAAGCATAAATATTTAAATTTACATTAATTTATAATTAATTTATTCTTAAAACTAATATCATTACTGTAATTACATACAGAAAAATATTTGTTATTTAACTTTTTTCCCTTATGATCAATAAAACTCAATGCCTTCAATTTCAAATACAAATAACTGAGAAATGTTTACAATGAAAGCAGTTTGCTCAATAATCCATGAAATTATTACTAAAGTGAAGAAAATAATTTTTAATGCTATTGCTTCTCATGTATAATTCTATTTATTTCATGTAACATTAACAAAATTGTTTTCATTTTAAAATCTTTGAAAAAAAAAATGCTTAAAAAATAATATCAATTAAATCAAAATTTTAATATAATATATGTTAATGTTACACTTTCAATATAACTGAACTATAATAATAATAAAAATAAATAATAAAAGAGTTATTAATATTTCAGAAACTTTAATATAAAAGAGCAGTCTCTTGTAATTTTCAATAATTGTATTAGTTTGCAAACTGTGCAATTGAAAACTACATACAATTTTAATACATAAATGTGAATGAATAAAACAAAAATAAATAGTGAAAAAAACTAATCATGCAAAACATGCTACCTACACCATTCTTCATACTTCTAATATATTTGTATATATAAAATATGTATAACAAATAGTATTTATTACCTTTCTCCAAGGAGCTCCTTCCCATTGAGCTCGTAAACCGCGTCATCTGCATCCCTATAGTCATCAAATTCCTGTAAACAAAATAGATTTATTATAAATCACAATATCAAGGAAACTTGCTATTCCCAATTTTTTCATGCAGCATTATATTGTATCATTCACGTTATTTAATACATCTTATTAATTCATAAAATATAACTAGTGTGCAACACACGCATATATATGCATTTGCAATTATTAATTCAAGAATTTCCCATCAATGCATATTGAGAAATTAGAGTTATAATCTGGGGGAAAAGATTTAACAATTTAAATAATTTTGATTTAGTATAAAATTTGAAGGAATTATTTAATTTTTCGTTATTTAATTTTATGGCTTTTAGTTTTACAATTGGTATTTTACCTCAAAGTAAAGAACAATTAAATATTGGATACCACAATTTTCCTTTGATAATACATAACTTACAAACGCTTTGTTGATTAATCGATGAAAACCAGCACACAGTTCCATTAAGCAGCCACAGTACCAATGTGTTCAGGGCTCAAGGTAGGTCAGATCAACTCACGAGTTCAAGTTATTTTTTAAATAAAACACTTTATCCTCTACACATTTTGGTCCTCGGTGAAATAACAAAATAATCATAATTCTTTTATAAAATAAACCAAAAAATACAGAAAATCTCCACATCCTACATTAATAAATAACAAGACCAAACTGAGTAGAGTAAAGTGTTAGATATATATATAAAATTTGATTCAGGTACTTACAACAAAGCCGTAACCATTCTTGATGAGAACATCACGGAATCGACCGTAGCCTCTGAAAAATCTCTCAAGGTCTCTTTCCCTGGTGCCGTATGGAAGCCCACCGACATAGACCCTTGTCCCTACCATACTGTAAAAAAAACAATTGAACCACATTAGACTTACCACAAAGGCAAATCCATTCTTCATAGCGACCTCCCTGATTCTACCATATTTCCGGAAGAACTTCTCAAGGTCGCGCTCTCTCACCCGGTATGTTAATCCGCCAACGAATACTCGGGTGCTCATTCTTAAAGGAAAATATAAAAACACCATACATAACAGGCTACTTTAAGAACCTGCCATTTAGTCACATGACAACATTAGAACTGTTATGTTAATTTCCAATATTCTGGCTGAGAATGGCAATGTTAATTCAATAAAACTGATATTATTAACTTCAACTTTATACTTCTGTTGAAACATTGGAAATTTATATCAAAGAAAGCATTGCAAGTTAAATACTTTTTATGGCTATTAAACTGATCGCAATAGATCACAAGTGCAATATAGAGGTGCTATCGAGTTTGTTTTTAAACCTAACATTTCATGTAGTCGATACAATATACTTTGGCATACATTCTTCTATAACAATCACAGATCATTTTTTAGTTACAGAATAAAAATAATATTAATGAAACATAAAATATTACTTCAACACTTATGTTAACATATAGATATAATATACATATAAATATAATTACATGCTGTGTTATATAAAAATGTGTAACAAATATATAATTAGTTTATTACATGTTGAAATAAAAAAACAATTCTGGAAAGCATTAATATCTAGAATTGCACATGAGTACTTTTTAAGTATTGTAACAATACTAAAATGGTGTATAACAATGGTGTAAAAATTTACTGGGTATCATATTTCTTATTTATTCTCAAACAAAAAAAAATAAAATGAATGAATATTTAATGCAGCACGAGTTTATATTAAGCACATCTCATGCACTTGTGGATAACTTAAATAAAAAGTGTCTTAATAATTTGCATATTTGCAAAACGAAGTATGACTCACTATTGTATACTAAGATATTTATTTTCATGCTTACTCAGCCAAAAAGTGTTTATGCAAATATTAAGGAAGTATGAACATTAGTCGCGTTTGGTATTTACAATAGATTTTATTCACAGTAAAAATTTCTGCAAGATGAAAAATTTTACTGCACATACCGAACTCGTCTGATGTTACAAACAAAGAATTAAAAATGGCAAATATGTAAAGTAATTTTTAATATATGAAGTTTAACTTTATGTTGTATGAACATTTACCATCCGAGTATTGACCTTTAAGATAGCTATGTTGTAAACTTATAATGTATTTATTCGTAATGTTAAAAATATATTTTTCTCCAATATATAGTGCGAAACTTCGATTGCATTTTACGGTAGCGTACCAATATGCATTAGTACATGAAACACGCGTTGAATTACTTTCTCTCCTTTACCCATTACAATCTCTTTCGAAAATTAAAAACTACAATATATTGCTATTTCAAAAATTTCAACTTGCTTCTCGATTTGTTTTTGTAAAAATAAAAAATGAAACTTAATCTAAAAAGTGTAATATATATATATTTCAAACTTCAGCGACAAACCATGTTTTTATTGGGCACTCGTTTCATAAAATGGCGGTCGTGTGATTGCTTATCGTCCTCCTTTTCTGGTACGTAATTTATACGATTATATGCGGATAAAAACGTGATAACTGTACTTACAAAAACATGTTACGATTACATAAAATAATTATATCTGTTACTTTTTAATGGTAGAAATCTCTCAAAAATTATCGACATACGAATTAATGATAACGCTAAGATGGAATAGTTAAGAATTATTTATGAAGTAACATACGTAATATCTAATTGATATACGATTAATTGTAACGTGCATATATTTATTACAATTAATAGATATAGGAAAATAATAGAAAAAAATTTTGTGGGTGAGCATCCATGACGTTTGGAAAGCATTTGGAGCATTTGGAAAGTTTTTGCCACATCATTAACACACAATTTAAAAATAAATCAATAATATAGTAAATGAATTATTTGAATTACAGAGAATGCTCGAGAATTTGTATTAATGAATTATCGTTAAACCATCATCATGTTGTGATACGTCGAAAGTACTTATCATGAAACGCGGCTGTTCCATCCATAAAACAAAGTATTTGCAAACAAATCATTTTTTTAATGCATATAATAATATCATGAGGAAAAGATATATATTTACAAACTTACCTGAATATACGTAGAAAACGTTGTTTTGTCCACAAATATCTTATTACTACAAATAGCTTTTACGACACAATACTACTGAAATTACTAGAAGAAGTAATGATCGGCGTCTGAAGTAAGATAGCTCGTTGCAATAACGGAAACAAAATGGGGTTCACACAACGAAAAACAAAGTCGCTGGCCGCTGGTTGGCCGAGTCTCGACACCAGACGCCTATTATAAGAAATTCAGTATTATTTTAAACAAATTACATAAATTCTGTGCAATAATATGAGATTATTATCTGTCAGTAAGATAAGATTTTTATTTGTAGTATATAATATGAAACAATATTTCTTAATGCATTTTACTATAGTCCGTTATCCCCTCTTTAGTAAAACTCTTATTTATGAATAAGTTACTACGTTTAAAACAATAAAGTTTAATATTATTCACTATTTAATTTTTACTTATTATCTCTTAATATATGTATAATTGATAATCATTTTTATTAGACTGGCAGTGAGTCATATGTAAATACGCTAGAAGTACGCTTTGATTCGAGGTAGTGGCGCAGTGATACAGAGCGCGATATTCAAACGACCATATTGTGACAGTATTTAATATATTTTTAAAATAACTTATATATTTAAAGACAAAACACTACAAAAAAATGATCATTCTTTAATATAATTCACGTATTGTAAAGTACTTACATGTAAATGTAACTTTATTTTATCATAAAATTTAATTGCAGTTGTTTATCATTGTAATACAATCTTTATACAATATACAATATATGATAAAAGATACAGTAAAAGAAATTTGATTAAAAGTTGCATTAGTATATCGAGGTAATATATATAGATGCAATATGTAATTTAAATAAACAATAAAATTATTTGATTGCGATAATAAATTTTAGTAAAGCTATGGATCTCTTATACGTTGGCTGAACTAGCGCCACCTACTGAAAACAAAAATGGTGGCCAACAATATGCCCTATCCCTGCCCTGGTTTTATGGCACGCCAAATGTCTGCGTTCTCTAGGCTTCTTTCTACTATGTATTTCCCTTCGTCTGATACACCCAATTTCAATGTGAACAAAGGGAATCATTTCCTCGCGGTTGATCCTATCCTACGTGCTAAATAAGTGAGGCTACTTCTAACCAAACCGAAGGTGATCCAAAACTATCGAATAATTTCGCGAAATTATAACCGTATCAGCTCGATTTGTCGTGTCATTCACCTTATATAATGTAATTGGTTACACACAATTCCATACGGCGGTTACATGCCTTTAACATGTATTGCCCGTTACAGGAAACACAAAATAAACAATCTAGCATTGTGGCAATGCAGTAAGGAGCAAAATCCTATATGCTTTACTAATACAAAGCGCAAAATAGATGTTTTTATTTTGCTACATGCTGCGCACGAATTACGTAAAAAAATTTCCTGTCGTTCACGTAACATCTACCATCAAAATCATTTAATATGTTTAATGAAATGTCAAATAATCACAGGGTCATATTAGGTTCGTACTATTGCAGATAAAGTATTTGTTTCCTTGACAACTGATTTACTGATACTACTATTTTAAATAAATTTTGTTAAATAATCTGTTAAATAAAGCTTGAAACTTTGAATAATTTTTCTTTGATATTAGATCTATTTTATATGTTATGTTATGTTACAGAAGATAAATGATAAAGATTAATTTTTTATAAAGATAAATTTTTATATTAATAGAATATTGAAATATCTATAACTGATGATGATATGCTTTCATTATTGTAGGTTGAATTTTATATAAACTGGTAATGACAGATAGAGCAAACACAATGAGGTTGGAAGCAGAAATGGCTGCTCCTTTGCATTTACAGAGATTGGAACGTAGTCTTAATGTACAGCCCTTTTTAAGGCAAATTAATGAATTGTTCCAAGACCCAACTAGGTAGTTCTTTTTTTATATTGACTGTAGTAAGAACTATGCTGAGACCGATAAAAAATTGTTACTTCATTTTTGCAGCGAGGATGACAAATCTGTATCATCAGAATCTTCTGAAGGATCAGATAATTATCTTGATAATGTTCTGATTCGAAAAGAAGGTCTGTAAATTTATTCTATGAACGATCATTTTACATTTATTTTATGCAATTATTATATAACTCTTGCAATTATTATATTTTGCAGAGGAAAGAATTAATAAACTGAGGCTGTATAACATGTCAAGTATTGGAGAAGAACGACGTTGGTTGCAGGATATTCTATTAAGTGATTCATCAGATAGTTCAGCTTCAGGATCTGATACAGATAATCCCATTACGGAAGAAGATTTTCAAGAAATGTTGAAATTTCACATACTTAGAAAAAAGTATCAAGCACGTTTCTACCAAAAACCAGAGGTAAAATTAAAGTTTAAGTTAAGATCTATAAAGTATATGGAATTGATAGTAATATAAAATTTTTATTTTCAGAATATTCAATATCAATATTATAGTGCTGGTTTGTTATCTAATTATGATAGGTTTCTAGAACATCAGAAATTAATAGTTGGAAATAAAAAGAAAAAAGAGAAGAAACCAGAAAAAAAAGTTATGAAAATAAAAAAGGAAAAAATACCACGCCACAGGTCCTCGGAGGATTATCCGGTACATAGAATAAAAATTAACGTATTAATGTAATATATTTCAGAAAGAGTATATTGTCATACCTATTTTAGGAAGGTGATTATCCAGATGAAGATTGGGATCGTACGATTCCTCGAGAAGAAGAATTGGATGAAGCTGAATTGGAAGCAATAATGCGTCATCAACCACGTCAACGGGGCCGAAAAAAACATAATAATAAAAGTCCAGAGGTGATGGCAATGAGACGAAGAAAGATTTGGGTAATGATGTCTAAAAAAGAACTGGGAAAAGTACAAAGAGCAAAAACCAATAATCATAAGGAAATATTAATTAGTTGTAAAAAAGTAGCACAACATTGTATGAAATATTGGAGACAAAAAGCTATGCAGGTATGTGTTACTATATTCATTATTACTTGCTCCTATTCAAAGATATTTCAATAATTTGTATTTTTTATATTTTATAGTCTCAAAAGAACATGAAAGAGACAATATGGAGAGCTAAACGTCTCACAAGAGAAATGCAATCTTACTGGAAGCGTTATGACCGAGTTGAACGCGAAACAAGAAGAAGACTTGAGAAAGAAGCTGAAGAACAGCGAAAAATGGATGTAGAGCTTATTGAGGTAATTAATATTGATATATACAGTATTCCTTATCTAGAATGTAGAAAACAAATATTTTCTTTCCTAATAATTTTATTTTCCTTCATAATTTAGGCAAAACGACAACAAAGAAAATTGAACTTTCTTATTACACAAACTGAACTTTATGCTCATTTTATGTCTCGGAAATTAGGGAAAGCTTCTCCGGAAGAACAATTGCGGATTTTAAATCAATTAGACGAAGAAAAAAATCCAAGACTTGTTGGAATTGATGATTACGATAGGTAAATTTGTTAATTTTATGTATTTATGTATGTAAAGTATTATATTATATATATGATTTGACGTATGTACAAACAGTGAAGCTATGAAACAAAAAGCAAAAAAGAATGCTACTGAGGCATTTGATAATGAAAAAGCTCGAGCAAAACAGTTCGATACAGCAGCCGCATCCCAAGAATTGCGGCTTAGTGATACACCTGAAAATTTAGAACATCCACAACCTTCGATTTTTAAGGGAAATCTTAAAGGATATCAGTTAAAAGGAATGAATTGGTTAGCTAATTTATACGACCAGGTTGGTTAAATTCTATATAAAGTAATGAGATTTCAAAAAAGTATATTTAGGTAAATATTCTTGGTATTTTCTTTAGGGTATTAGTGGAATTTTGGCAGATGAAATGGGTTTGGGAAAAACTGTACAATCCATAGCGTTTTTGTGTCATGTTGCTGAAAGATATTGTAAGTTATTTGTATACTTTGAAATTTTTTAATTGTTTACGACAATTTAGTGAACTTATTTTTTCATAGCTGTATGGGGACCATTTTTAATCATATCACCAGCTTCAACGTTGCACAATTGGCAACAAGAAATGGCACGATTTGTACCAATGTTTAAAGTAGTTCCATATTGGGGAAATCCACAAGAACGTAAAATACTAAGACAGTTTTGGGATACTAAAGATCTACATACGAAAGAAGCTTCATTTCATGTAGTGATAACAAGTTATCAATTAGTTATTACCGATTACAAGTACTTTAATAGAATAAAGTGGCAATACATGATTCTAGATGAAGCACAAGCTATAAAGAGTACTAGCAGGTTAGTGTACTAGCAGGCGAATATTTATATTATTTATACTTTAAATGCATAATATTATATCATTTATCTTATAGTATGAGATGGAAATTGTTGCTTGGATTCAGCTGTCGCAATAGATTATTACTCAGCGGTACACCTATTCAAAACAGCATGGCAGAATTATGGGCATTATTACATTTTATAATGCCCACTTTATTTGATTCGCACGATGAATTTAACGAATGGTTTTCTAAAGATATTGAAAGTCATGCAGAAAATAAAACAGGAATTGACGAGAGTAATATATTTTTTTGTATTTGTATAATAATAGAGTAACATAATACATTTTACAAATCCAATATTTCTTTTTTTGTATGTAGAACACTTATCGAGGTTACATATGATTTTGAAGCCTTTTATGCTGCGTAGAATAAAGAAAGATGTAGAGAATGAATTATCTGATAAAATTGAAGTAATGGTATATTGTCCTCTTACTACTCGTCAAAAATTACTTTATTCGGGTAAGAATATAACATTTCTACATATCAGGGACCTTTTTTTGACGTTAAGAAATTATAATGTATTCTTTCGGACAGCATTAAAAAAGAAGATTAGAATAGAAGATCTCTTGCATTATACAGTGGGTGGTGACACTGCATCCAATGACAAAAATTTCACATCGAATCTTATGAATCTAGTCATGCAATTCCGAAAGGTAATAATATTAATATGTATTTAAAATTTCATATATTTTTTAAAATTTTATATTACTATCTATTTCATTAATTTCAGGTTTGCAATCATCCAGAACTTTTTGAGCGTAGAGACGCGAGATCTCCATTGTTTATGCACACTGAATGTTATGAAATGCCTGCATTATTATATATAGAAGGATTGAAACATCTCTCATCTAAAGATCACTTGTTGTATAATAAGCTGTTCATATTTGCTACTGAATATATACATCGGACTCTTCACGGTGGCAATGAAAATTTTTCTCAAAATTCCTTTTCCTTTAGTAGATTTATTAACTTGTCTCCAATGGAAATGAATCAAGTATTTATCGTTGGAATTATATTCAGGTATATAACTTTTTATATTATAAATATACAACATATGTTTTACAATAATATTTATTTCATAATTTGCGCTTAGATTGTGTCTTGCTACTGTAATGGAGAAGAGAATAAGAATGATGCATTATTGGGAAGATTGGAATGCTGATGAAAGGACAGAAATACCTATGAATCATATGTTTCTTTTGCCTAGAAAAATCGATGATTCGTCGTCGCATTCATTGCAGGATTTAATATTTACAAGAAAGATTATCGAAGGAGAACCTGTATATACGCATACAACTCATGTTATTCATTCAATGCCTGAAACCGTTGCTCATCGAATTTTACGTAGCAGTAAAAAAGCTGCTAATCAGTCGCTGAAGGTCCGGAATTAATATATATCTTTTTTTCTTTTATTCATTTGATAGATTAACTTAATTATGAGATATGTAGTGAGAAATGTCTTTTTTTTTACAGAGAATACTTCCCTCTACTAAGGCTGAACAAGAAGAGTCGAAAGTGACTTTGTTACCAGAACATCCTCATTTTCCTAGACCACCAATAATGCGACATTGTCAACAGACAACCATTCCAGCTTTCATTTGTGATACTTTTCCCAAGGTTTTCAAATAAATGCAGCATTAATTCAGAATTAAAAAGTAATGGAGCGTACAGCAATATAGCGAATGAATGTTAATTTTAGGTACAAGCTAGTCCCCGAAAATTGTATGTTAGCAATAGTTCTGCAGCGTGCGCTTGGAGAAGGCACGAAGAATGTGGTGGAAAGTTTGGTCAACGACTTCTCTGGCTTGGTTGTGAACGAGCTCTTTCTGTCGCATCGTTACAAGAGAACTCAAGCTTTCATATATCACAGATGACATCAACATTTTCAGTGGAACCGCGTGGTGGAATTTCTGCATGTACTCCCATAAACGGATGGTCAAATATTATAGTACCAGGTAAGCATCTTTCCTGATATTTGTATCAGACTTTTCACATGCATTTCAGTCTATATATTTTTTTTCTTTGCATTGTTGTAGATAAGCAAACCTTAGTGACAGATGCTGGAAAACTTTCTGTCTTGGATAGTCTTCTACGTCGCCTTAAAGAACAGGGCCATCGAGTCCTTATTTATTCCCAGATGACAAAAATGATCGATCTGTTAGAGGTAATGTGTTAGAGGATATTCGACGAGATCATTACAAGAATTTTACATCATATTTTTATTACAGGAGTACATGTATCATAGAAAACATACCTTCATGAGATTAGACGGTTCTTCTAAAATCTCAGACCGGCGGGATATGGTTGCAGATTTCCAAAAGAGGTAGCTTTTATACTTTTCTATAATGTAACATTTTATATTACCCCGTAGAAATTTGTAAAACATTTATATTGTAAATATCATGTGTAATTTTTAATATCTGCCAATCTAAACGAGCGTTGCCTACTAATTCAATGCGACTATACCATTAATGAACTGAACGAACTTTTTCCCAGTGCTGTTTAGAATATGTATCAGCCACGCATCATGTTGCATGTCTAAAGCGCGGCCTCTTAGCATGTCGTTCGTTCACTCGCGCATAACTAACACGCGAATTAATTGGCGAATCGGCCCTGTCTCGTAGACAGCTGCAGCTTTGGCTGCCCGCCACAAATGCACGGCTCTAATAACGGCTGATCTTTTAGCATATATTTTATTTTCAAACTAAACGAGGTTTATTTTAAGAAAATAAAAAAAAAAAGGAAAAACATATCTTTTCAATTGTATTACAAAATTACAATCGAATCGTGGAGATGTTGAAATATATATTCAGCTTATGTGTTTTGTACTGGAAATCCTTTAAGTGCACCACCAGCGTATATCGAATTAATTTACATACAAAAACGTGTCGTACTCGACTGTTCGATCTACATGGACTGTTTCGTGTTTCAGGGCGGACATATTCGTCTTTCTGCTGAGTACCAGAGCTGGAGGCCTGGGAATAAACCTCACTGCCGCAGACACGGTTAGTAATCTTATCCTGTGTCTTATCGGCTCGTACCTTGTACGTATTCACTTCACGATTTCATAAAGTCGGCCGTTCGCCTTTTGTCCTTTCTTCTGCTGTACATGACAAATAGCTCGAAATAACTCGGAGGGATACGGTTGTAATTGATCGAAAACGAAGCAGCATAGCGTGAGAAATCACGATTCTATTTTTATACGGACAACGATTAATCACAATATTGATCCTTGCTATTCGACTTTCATATCATCGATCTGACAAGGCTAAGATGTTCTACAATGTTTCATCCAATATATACAAAAAGGACCGAATCGAATAAATTAATCGATCGATTATAATTATAATCAGCGGTGCAAGTTTCCTTTTTTTTTTTTTTTTTTTTCCTTCAAAAAAATTATGACGATGGACCTTAATTACGAGTGAAGCGATGTTGCAAATTAATGGCGGGATTGATAAGAGCTTTCGGTCAGGATCGTTCGCCTGCATTGCCGAAACTGCATTCTGTTTTACTGTCCGGATGTGCACGAACATAGGCTGCAGGCATTCGTTTGTTGAAGCTACGATTTGCATATGCCCTCGTTCGAATATCGAGTGGAAAGAGATGTGTCCCTGTTTTAGAACGTCACGCACAATAGATATCTGAATTTCTGTCTGATATTTTTCAATACAGAAACACCCGTGAGCGAATGATTTGACTGAACTATAAAAATAAATTTTATTTCATAGGTGATCTTTTACGATAGCGATTGGAACCCAACGGTGGATCAGCAGGCTATGGATCGGGCCCATAGACTGGGTCAAACGAAACAAGTTACGGTATATCGATTAATTTGCAAGGGAACTATCGAGGAAAGGATACTGCAACGTGCTCGAGAAAAGAGCGAGGTACGTTTAAAGGCTTGACTAAGCCACAAATTGAGAAATTAGATCAGAATCATTTGTAAATCGTTATTAATCTTCAAAACGACAAAAGGAAAGTGTAATTCAAAATACATTTGCAGATACAACGCATGGTGATTAGCGGAGGGAACTTCAAGCCAGACACGCTGAAGCCGAAGGAAGTCGTTTCCCTTTTATTGGACGACGAGGAAATCGAAGCCAAATGTGAATATTCTTATTTCAATCTTTTCATTTGAACTTTTAATTTGTTATGCCATTTTCTGTTTTTGAAATGGAAGCGAGTAAAACGGGTGATCTTCTGTTAAATAAATAGAGCTTTTTATAATCTTGCTGAATGAAAGTTTGAAATGCAAATATAGAACACTAGAACCGCATTTTTTGCTTGCTGAAGCGCGAGTTTAGTTGGGCGATGCGAACCGGCACACAAGAGAGTAGAGAGAGAGAGAGACAGAGAGACAGAGAGAGAGAGAGAGAGAGAGAGAGAGGGAGAGAGGAAAGGGGAAGAAAGAAGGTAGAGAAAGGAAAGAGCATGGATGCAATTACATTATGCTCGTTAGGTTATGCTAATGCCCTAATAACGAATAATAATAAGAAAAGAAGTAACGAACGTCCCCATATACAAAGCCTGTGTGTTCGTATATTTCAGACAGCCAACGGAGCGAGGAGAGAAAGCAGCACGCGGAGGATGCCCGGCTTGAGTCGAACCTATACTATAAAGAGAGAGACCGGAAGAGGAAGTTAACCGCGCTTCCGGTCAAGGTGAGTCCGCCGCCCTTTAGAGCCGCTATTTCCTTTTTCTCATTCTCGGTTTCTGCAATTATTATTGGAATTTTTCCTCTTACGTTTCTATAATCTCTGTTTTAATCTCTTTGCCAGGGTGATGCAAAGAAGCCTTGTTTGTCTGATGCGAATGGCGACAAGATTGGTGATATCGTTCAAGCTAATTCCAACGAAAGCAGTCAAGCCAGTGGTGGCGTTCAATCGTATCAAATTAACAATCACCAGCAGATTCTCGATAACATGGACGACTATAGCGTGCCAACTAGTCCTGTTAAATCAGAGGTGTGTATCAGTATGTTGTACATTCAAGAATTGACTTCACAGAGAGAGAGAGAGACTTGCCAATAAATGAAAACGGAGTTAATAAATCTTAAATATGTTTCAACATGTTTAGGATGAGACGAGCAACGATGGCCTGGTTGTCGATGTGGATGGTCCAGTGGGGGCATCCTCCGGTGACAACCGACAGTCACGAGCGAACCAGTTTGGAGATGCTGGGAAAGTCAGCCGTCTCGATCACCACGTGTCTTTCAGTAGCGGAAGCAGCGTTCGGATAAGGCCTACGATCCGTGGTACTAGCAAGAGGGGAAGACCTCGAGGTTCTCGTAGAGGGGGGCCTGTTGGCGGGAAGGGTCGAGGCCTTCTTTTACTTCATCCACCGTCTAAGGGTCTTGGAAGCAATCCTCAATCACCAACATCCTTATCTCCAACCAGTAGCAGTACAACCAGCGATCAAGCTTTACAACACGGTAAATATTCAGTTTGTTGAATTTATTGCTTGAAAAGTAGGAAATCTGTCTGTAGTTATCTACAACATAGATTGCAACCTATTAATGTATTACTAACTGTGCCAAGGTTGTTTCACAAGGACGTGCGGGAATTAAATGTAGATTGGATCATTTCGAGTAATTCGAGTCCGGTAGATTCATCACCATTACACACACGGAATCGTGTGACGCCTGCTGATGAATATTTAACATGCACCTTGCACGTGTAATGAGTTCATTAATGTAAAATATATATTGCTTCGATTGCCAATGAGACTATAACAACTATTTCAATTTATACACTCGACAGTGCGTAATACGCCTATAAAGAGAATATCGTACATACAATCCATTTGGATCGTCCAACCGCATTTGCCTTAGATCTTCAATCGCTGTGAGGAACGCGTGCTGATTCTGTTCAGAATGTCGGATACGGTTTAAGAGGATTAATTGGGAGCTTTCGTAAAGGCCAGACTCGAAATGTCCCCTGCTGCCCCGATCAAAATGACTTTTCCTCGACGCACCCTCGAATCGATACATCGTTAATCCCGACTGACTCTTACTTATAGATCTCTCCCCCTGCCCCTTTGCTTCTGTCGCGCCACTTGGCCCGATTCTCATAGGATTTTCGTCTCGGCGAGAAAAGAAAAGGAAAGACCCCTGGGCCCACCCTTGACTGACGTGAAATCCATCGAAATTCCCTCGCGATTACATGTGCGCGCAAGTGTTGCGGCGAACAGTTGGCGCCTTTCCTAAGGGTATGCGATTTACCCTTCGAGATATATCCCACCCCCTTTATGACTCACTCACTCTGACTCGGCCGCAGTTTTTTCAAACGCTCGAGTGCTGTA